ATGAAAATTCATTGAATTTAGGTCAATGTGAATGTTAATTAATTGAGAATTTATAACACAAATTTCATAAATGACAATAATTATGTAGTATTTATTACAAGTAAGATATTACTGAAATAATTAAATTGTACGGGGTTAAAATCGTCCAAAAAATTATCCTAACTCGATGTAATATTTTAATATATTATAGATTTTATCCAACAAGCAATTTTCTTTAAAAAGTTGCTTTTATATATTTGGATAATTTTTTTGGAGGAAAGCTATTCTACTTTTATTTAGAAAAAAGGCGTAAGATTTTTATTCTTTTAAGAAATCTCTTTTTGGTTAAAAATATTATAAATGTACTTCATTTTGATTTTAAAATATATCTTATTTTCATTTGAAATTAATATTTTAATTTTTCATTATAAAACAATATTTCTATGAATTACATATTCAAGTAACATATTTGTCACTGTATTATTCGTAAATACTGTTAATATACATAAATTTTATTAAGAGACAAAGAAACCAATGAAAAGTTAGGGTAGAACCTCGGAGTCGACTGAAGGGAAGTTTGGCACTTGAAGGCTTGAAGAGTACCCTAAAACAGGGAAAGTCGTAGAAACAATGACTCGTTAATTAAGCACAACGTGGGGCTAACTAAAGTTGGGTTTTTTTTTTTAATTTTTTTTGAAACACGGGCTAATAGGTAAAAAAAATATTTTACAAAAATAAAATTGTTTTTTACACCTAATTGGCTAGAGCTAGCCTGGGCTTCCTAAGTCCGCCACTGATTTTGAACCACTATTTTGCTACAAAACGCACAATGGGACAAAGAAGATTGATTCAACGAGATATGCCTTGCCTGCATTATGCAAGAGAATGACATGACTATATGAGTCTTTCATCGATAACGTTCTCAAGTGTCTCGTACATTATCTTGCTCCATCTTTAGGTATTGACATTGTCCAACTAGAGAAGTTGGGAGGCATGCATCAATCTTCCTCAGCAACCTATAATTTCAAATTCATTGACATTAGAGTCCTCGATCTAAACTCTCGATATCAATACCTCGACCTCACAAACCTTCTCCATCTCTCGATTGAGTTACTTTTTCCAATTTACAAGGGATAATTTCCTTAGTCGCTCCAAGTTTCCATCCAGAGTGATTTCCTCATCGTCTTATTTTATTCAATCATTTTTCTTTGTGTACCACATTGTATGCTAATGCTATCGCCACAAAATACAAGTAACAAACTATGTCTAAAACCGCTCCACACCACTCTCTACAACACTTCCACCACAAAAACAAGAGTAGTACATTATATTACATGTCTAACACCACCCTGCATCACTATCCGTTATCACCTAACACATAACCTGCACCACTATCTCCACAAATCACGACGAACGGATTATTTTATTTATCTAAAATCACTCAACATCATTGTCCAACACCACAAAACACGGAGTAACATATATTTTATTCACTTGAAACAACAACACAACTAGAAATCACAAGTAACATAGATGTTTCTCGTCTAACATCACTCGACACCATTGTCCATCATCGACATAAAATATAAGTAACATATTATGTTACTCATCTAAAGCATAGAAAACAATTAAAGACACCTGCCAAGGTATAGCGAGGCGAGCAATCAAAGATGTTTTGCTTAGGAGGACTGTCCTTCTGTGATTGGACATCTAATAATGATGGAGCGCTATTTATGAAATTTATATGTCAGATCAACTATTCCGTTAAAGACGCAAAATAGAAGTGATTATAGTGAATAACTTCCGACACTTTGAAAAGTTCAGTAATCAAAAGTCAACATTTTATGATGTAGTGAGAAATCGAAAATACCAATCTAATTTTGTGATTATTGGAACAACTAACTATTTCACACTTCTAGCTTTCCTATTCATAGTAAATATGAACACTGACCATTTAGCAAACTATTGCATTTTGGAATCGGTCATTGAAATTTTTTCACACTGACTTGAGATTAATCAAACATAGATCCTTTTTTTTTTTTTTTTTTTTTTTTTAAAGTCAGATACTCAACAGAACAAATTCTGAGACAAGGATCAGCTTTAAAATAGTAAAAAGATTGACATTCACTACATACTAAAACCAAACCTCGTTTGGTGGCCACCACCGATTTTTTACTATAACTAGATATGGGTTGGCAGTGACTTTGGCGATAAGAAAGAAAAGAGACGCCGTGGTGGAAAGAATGTGATAATGCACAAATTTGCATGTAGAAGGTGACAAATCGCAAGAAGTCATTGTGCACATATTTGAGCAAAGCAGATCGTAATTTGCACGAATATGTGCGACAAAGGTCACTAATCATTACAATGGTGGAAGTGTTGATGCAGTCATTGAAGGTGGTGGTCCGTGGTGTTAGGGTTTGAAAGATCGTATAATGAGAATCTTTTAGTTTCCTGTATTTTGTTTTATAAATTGTAAATGATTATTTTTTAAAAAGTTTATATCTATAATATATTAAAATACTACATCAAGGGAGAATTATTTTTTGAACGATTTTAACTCCCTACAGTTCAATTATTTCGATAATACCTTATTTTTTTGTTTTTCGAAATGTAATAAATACTATAAAATTATTGTCATTTATAAATTTGTATTATTAATTTTCAATTAATTAACATTCACATTAATCCAAAATTTAATGAATTTTTTCACTTGATAAATCTTGAATTACATTAATCAAGATTTATTAGATGAATTTATTAATATTCATTTATCTAGAAATTTTAATGGGTGTTTAAATTTATGTATTTACAATTAATTTTTATGTATCAAATATAATATAAAAAGATTATTCATTTATAGTATTTCATCATTACAAAAAATTTGATTCATAGAAATTGAATTTTAAGAGTACAATTTGAGTACAATTTTCTTCTCTCAAATTTCTGTTGGATATTGGTTAAATAAATTGAGAATTGAAAATCGATTAAAGTTCGTATCGAATTCGGCCAAATACTCAAAAGCTCGACTCAATCCGTTTAGGCAAAATTGTTTGCCACTTCGCCGCTTCGGGGCGCACAAACGGGGATCGACCTGCCCGGTCTGGTCGCGAGGGTCGAGGGGGCAGCGCCCCTCGTGGGGGGTCGGGGGCAACGCCCCCGAAAGAGAATTTTGATTTCTCTGCATGTATTGAAGGGTATATTTGGCATTTCGAAAACCAATATCGGATGAATGAGAAATTACGAAAAAGACCTCAACCATTAGTGAATAGACACCTTTTCATAAATATGCATTGTTTGGAAATGGTGCATGGTTTGGTCTCAACCATTTCGTCCACACCCCTTCATGGTCTATAAATAGGACCCTATGGGTGTTCTATTTCTCACAGTTTGATATGCAAAAACGTCTCTCATCCTCTCTTCTATCCAAAATCAAAATCATTTCCTTATTTTGATTTTCTTTCATTTCATCCTTGGAGTACATAAGCCTAAATTACGTGTCGTTTATTTGTGTATGATTTCATATTTTTCTAGTATCTAATCTTATATTTGATTTTTTTTTAGCGATAAGTTAGTTTCCTTTTTTTCCCCTCATTTACATTTTTGCCTCTTTTTTTTTTCTCTCTTTTTTTGAATTGACTTTTATTAAAATTTTAAAAATATATATATACTATTGGATTTTTTTTTTTTAGTTAGTTGACTCAGAAATCAGAAATAATTTTAATATATGAATATAATAAGATATGTGACAAACAAGATAAGAAATAATTTTGGATTTTAAGCTAATAATGGAAATTCCACAAGAAGCACAAACAACCATTTAAAGAATGATGTTTCCTTGTCGGAAAATAGCAAAAATTGCGTTAAAAGACATTAATTTGACAGGAAATTAAGTCCAAACTAAGCACAGAGGATTTGAAAAACATTTAACTAAGATAAACTAGTTAAGTTACATAAATTCATTTGCATCCAAGATATCTTGAATATCGAAATTTAACGTGTTACTGTAGTAGCTCTCTCTCTCTCTCTCTCATCTTCATAACTTGTACTGCTGCTATTAATATAAGTTGAGTTTGAGTGCAATGATGTTGGACTTGATGAGGGCATTTATATATTGATACATTGGAAGCTAAAGCTACTGCTTTTATTATATTGAAATGTTGAAGTTTGATCATCAGATGGAGGAGGCTCTCCATCCATGGAGAGAAATCTCTCCGTGCACGGAGAGATTTTTTTTCTTTTTTTATTTGTTTTGTTTATATTATAAATAATTTTTTTAATTTAAAATTATTTTTAATTCTTTTCGATAAAACTTAATTTTTCAATTTTATGTAAATAATATTTATATATTTTTTATTTAATTTTCATAAGTTTCTTTTATTATTTTTTTTTGAAAATTGTTTTAAAATTTCTTTTTCCTTCATATTATAAATAATTTTTTGTTCGATTTAAATTTTTTTTAATTCTTTTTATTTTACGATAAAACGCAATTTTTTCAATTTTAATTAAATAATATTTATTTTTATGTTTTAATTATTTCAATTTAATTAAAAAAACTTTATAATAATGTTTTTTATTTTTATTTTTAATTTCCTTTTTTATCCCTTTTTTAACCTGCATTTACAATACAAAATGATATCGTTTTCCAATGTTGAATGGCAAAACGACCCGTTTAAATATAATTATAGAAAATATTAATTATTTAATTAATAATAATTAAATCTTAATCAATGTATTTTATATTCACTCATTACCTTAATGTTTGAGATGAGATTTTTTTTCAAAAATGGAAAGAATTAACATGATGACTAAAATTCAGAGTCCTGATCTTAAGAATTATTCTCCAACAAACAGAATTCAAAATCGATTTAAATTCATCAACATATAACCAAAACAAAAATTACTAAAATAGGAAACAACGTATAAACGAAGGAATTTGTCCAAAATTGACCTCATTTTGCTGTTGATTTTTGTTTATTGGCACATTTTCAATCAAATTTGATTAAAATTTCGTAGATAGCAGACAACCTTAAAATTTCTCTAAAAAATGAAAAATTGAAGTTCTTAGCTTAAAGAAAAGATAAAAAAATTTAAAAAAATTCAAGCAGTGCACGGATTGCACTCTCCGTGCATGAAGAGTGCCACTCCGTGTGCACACTCTCTATGCATGCAAACCAATTACAAAATGGTGAATCTTACAATTCTGCAAATTTTAAGAATGGGTCGATTAAAGTAGCTCAAATTTCTCTATTATCATCAAGTAGTTTGATTGGCTACTTCCTTTACGTCCATTTTGACAAATTGATCTTACCTTGATGACACAACCCTCACCAATAACACTGTCGGTAACATTGGCATCAAACATTTTCGAAGGTGGCAGGTACCGAGGTTGTGTATAGATTGGAGAGGAACGATCATAGAAACTACATCACACAAGATAATCACATGTTAAAAAAAAAAAATTCCTTCATAAATTCTAATAAGAGATCAAGAAAACTAACCTGAAGTCTGGTAATGGCTTCTTAGTGATCCCTAAATTGGAATTGTAGAAAGCCTCGATAGTACCAATGTCTTCCCAGTGGCTATCGTACAAATAGGCTTGAACCTGATAAACACCTAAAATAGAACAAGAAAAAGCTAACTATGATTCATAAATATGGTTACCAAATCTTCCTGTAACCATAATCGAAATACAAATAGGTATATGACTCCAACAAAACAGTGATATCTTTATTATGACTTTTTGGGGAATACACCGATTATGTGCATATTATATTCACAAAAGCATATTGGTTATTTGTGTGAAATCGAAACGTAATTTCTACTTACCGAAATAGGATTTGAGAAGTAAAACATAAAAGTTATCGAATCTGAATGTATGGATATGTATTCATTCCTTTCGATTCTTGAACGAAAGCAAATTATTCTTTTGATCGAACCTTGCAACATAAACATGTAAACAATGTTAATCATTTCCTGAAATCAAAATATAATCAAAAGAAATCAGAAAACTCTAGGAAAAAAGGTGCAAGTAATGAATTTTTGGTCAAGACAAGTGTTTAACACTTGGTCCTTAAAATGAATTTGCCCCGCATCGATGCTAACGATTTTTCGACAATTATCTCCCAAGATACAACGACCACGTCAAGCCATAGGAGCACTCCAAATGACTTCGACCAGCGAACTCGAACGGAATTCCTTCTCTACCAAGGAAATGCATGAAAATGCTATGAAATTAGAAAGAAGAGAATTGCAAGAGAAGAATGAATGCTCAATGTAATTGGTGTACCCAAAACTATGTCGATAGAGTTCTATTTATAGATGTAAAAAGGGTGCAAATGAAGTAGTGTGGATCAAAACATGCATCCTTTCAAAAAGTTGCAACACTTGGCCAAAACCTACATTCTTTCGAAAAGTTGCAACACTTCATTTCTTCCAAATTTGATCCGTAATTTCTCATTCATCCGGAATTGGTTTCGAAATTTCAAATATACCACGACGATCTACTCGACGAGTAGAATAAGTTGGTCTATTTACTTTTGTAATTTGACCATCAGATCAAGCCCGAATATTTGGTCGAAATTGACACGTAGTCACACCTTTTCATTTTCCACTTTTACACACCTTTTCATTTTTCAATTTTGGTTAATTATTTGAACCAATTCCAACAATCCCCCACATGAATGGAAATTGGGTACGCATATGTAAATGCGATGATATGATGTAATGTAGAGAGGGTGTAAAAAAACACTGCATCAGGGAAGGTAGCTTCTGGCCTTGAACTTCCCTTAGTGAAATACCATCGGACTTACTCGACTAATTAGTGAACGTGATGTCTTGAACCATTCAGCCTTTAGTGTAAGCCAAGACAAAAAATACTCACACAGATGTCTTTCCTAAATCGTTCATGGTTCTCATGACTTGATTCATTTTAGCCATGAATCCTTCTTGGTTCTACAAGTGTTTAAAGAATTCAAGCATTGAATAATTCTAATTGAAGCGGCCCTATTTCACACTCACATAGGTGACTTCCTATTAAGAGTATTCTGCCCTACTTTACTCGATTTAATCAAGATATAGGAATCATTAAAAGATTATCTTAACCTCTTACAACTCTGCAGAAAGCACTTTAATATCATAGGAATGAGTTAGGAAACTATTTTCCTTAGTGCTTCATGGAATCCTCATAACTTAGTTGTCCCTTTGAACTAAAATCTTGGGATCTCCAATCAACAAGATAGGGTTACCATTACCAGAACTCTAACGTAGTAGGCTTCAATTTCATTCCCTTTGATATGCAGTCTTCTTGATCTCTCTTAGTAAATCTCTTTTAAAGGTACCGCGAGTTTACACCATTGAGATCAACTACTTAATGGTATTATGTCTATGATTTATACGTCTAGATCTACCATTACATGTGACTTAATATCTTATCAAATAGAGCTAGCCAAAGATCGATTTATTTGATAGATGCAAATTGTGGCCACCAAGAAATCTTCTCATGAGGCTATATACCTCATTAGCTTTATCAATTTCCAAACACGGTTGGAGGATTTCTATCAAACACTACACTAGTCAATCACTTTTACTAGTGGATTTCAGAATCATGGGTACTCAATATCATCATTGAAACATTACCGTGCATTTGAACTTTATGAATATTCATCATATATTCCAATTGTTCTTGTATGTCTAAACAAACGTCATAATCAGTTTTACAACCCATTTCATCCACTTTAGACTTAGTATATATCATCCTTATAATTAGTGTAAGGGGTTTCTATCTTTCTACCTTCATAGATATCATTATGTGATTATAAGATAGAAGTAAACGTAACTGTTAAACTGAGTTACCCCCACAATTCCTCAATTAGGAATACATATGCAATCTAGTAACATTGCATCCATAAGTTTTTAACTTTTCATTCAAGTTCACGAGCATTTATGATAATCCCCCGCATCTTTGGGTTACAATTGAACTTAGGGTTTAACAACTCTTTCATAGTTCAATTTATTTATTTCTTGGATAATATCCGCATCGAGTGCTTCGTGAAAGTTTACGTACTTTCAAAATAGTGGTCGTCGACTCACAATTTATTTCAATTAAAGTTGCATATATCGTACTTCAATCCAATTATTTTAATTTGATCATTCAAATTGAATCAAGGCCATCATATAGACCTGCAATGCTTTCAAACATATACCAACTTAATTGATTTCATGATTGAAGTCAAATTCAACAATAAAGAGAGCTAAGCATTGCAACTTTTTCAAACATATGCATCTTATCACATTTGTGGCATTTCACATGATAGTTTCATTTGAACCATCGATTGAAAAGTTGTATTCTCAAAAAGCACAATACTATAAAAGGACACACCTCTTGAATTAATCTCTATAAAGAGACACACCCATTGAAAATTAATCATACGAAAAGTCATGATTCTCCATATGAAAAGACACATCTTTCCATGCAAAATTTTCTACGATTTCAAATAATTACGTGACTTAATTCTCATTACTAAATAATGATATCTACTTAAATCATCTCATTTAATTTTTTGAAATTAATTGAGGCTATCATCATAGTCAAAGTTAGTATAATTTCAATGAGATATGAAATTTTAACCAACTAATTTACCATGATACTTTCATCAAATAATTGACATCCTTATATGTCCAATGGTTAGGAATAATTTCCTTATTTCCATCCATTCATTATTGGACTCGAGTTGGTTTTAACAATATTCAATTCATCATGAATAAAGTGTAGGAATAGCAACATATATTCCAAATATTTATACATTCATTTGTATAAGTTTATTCTATAAAATGTCTCATGGAGGAGGTCCACGCATTTCCACATTTTGTTATCATCTAGTAAATTGCTTTTAGAACCTCATTCACTTGCTCAAAAATAAACCATCTTGGAAAGAAACGTACTGGTTCAGCAACCATGCATTAACAATTGCAATCATATATTATATTCTAAATGAATGGACAGCATATAGTAATTGGCTACTTTTAATTAAGGCAGTTACAATATGATTAAATTCACAATTGCAGAAGTAATTAATTACTAAATAAATTGAAGCAACCCTTCATGTAATTTATTTAATATCATCAAACCAGTAACTTGTTCATTAAATATGCATCTTTTCATGTAAGCACTCGTTCGTATGCAAGGCAATTTTATTTGGTAACACAACTTATGGTAAAAGACCAATTCATGCCATTTCAAAAATGTGAAAAGATACATCCTTCAACAACATGCATATTTTATTTAATTCATCAGAATATATTAAGACATTCTGGCTCCAATTATTTTTGTACGAATTCTGTTTCATGGAGAACGGAACCATCAATATGAGTGCACAAACACCCAATCAAGATTCCTCATGCACAAAACCACTTGTTTAATTAAAAGATGTCAGCAAATTAAAACTGCCAACTTTTCAATTGGTATCACAATTTCGGCAAGTACAATTATTTGGAATATCATATATACCATTAATTTAAGTGTTTAACCAATTGTCAGTTTATACACAATTTTCAGAATTGCACACTATATAATTTCCAAGAACGCAAATATAAAATGCACGAGAAAATCAACAAAATTCATCTTAACATTGTTGGGAAATACACCGATTATGTGCATATTATATTCACAAAAGAATACCGGTTATTTGCGTGAAATCGAAACGTAATTTCGACTTACTGAAATAGGATTTGAGAAGCAAAACATAAAAGTTATCAAATCTGAATGCATGGATATGGATTCATCCCTTTCGATTCTTGAACGAAAGCAAATTATTCTTTTGATCGAACCTTACAATATAAACATGTAAACAATGCTAATCATTTCCTGAAATCAAAATATAATAAAAAAAAAATCAGAAAACTGTAGGAAAAGGGATGCAAGTAATGAATTTTTGGTCGAGGCAAGTGTTTGATACTTGGTCCTTAAGATGAATTTGCCCCGCATCGGTCTAACGGTTTTTCGACAATCATCTCTCAAGATAGAACGATCACGTCAAATCATAGGAGCACTCCAAATGATTTCGACCAGCGAACTCGAACGAAATTTCCTTTCTACTAAGAAAATGCAATGAAATTAGAAAAGAGAGAATTGCAAGAGGAAAATAAATACTCAATGTAATTGGTGTACTCAAAACCATATTCATCGAGTTCTATTTATAGATGTAGAAAGGGTGCAAATGAAGTAGTGTGGACCAAAACATGCATCCTTTCAAAAAGTTGCAACACTTGGCCAAAACCTATATCCTTTCGAAAAATTGCAACACTTCATTCCTTCCGAATTTGATTCGTAATTTCTCATTCATCTGAAATTGGTTTCGAGATTCCAAATATACCACGACGATCTACTCGACGAGTAGAATAAGTTTGGTCCATTTACTTTTGTAATTTGACCATCGGATCAAGTCCGAATATTTGGTCGAAATTGACACGTAGTCACACCTTTTCATTTTTCACTTTTACACACCTTTTCATTTTTCAATTTTTGGTTAATTATTTGAACCAATTCCAACATGACTTACCCTCATTCCAATTGAAGTAGCACCTGGAATAACTTCACTTCTAAAATCATTGGCTCCAGGGAATGTATCACTTAGCAAACTCAGCATCACATCCTTACTGAAAACATATATGCCCATACTCGCAATATATGGCATTTCCTTTGCTCTCTCATCATCAAGACCTAAAATGGTGGTATCAACCTACAATGAAAATGAAGCACAAATGAAAATGGAAAAGAAATTACAAGACTGGATTCTCGACAATCAAAAAGTTACACTGACAATATAGAAAATAAAAATTGCTGATCTGGTTTCCACTTAGTCACTCAATCCCTGATACAAAAGCAAATAAAGCACTGAAATATCTTGTGGTTGCAGTTTTACCTTCATTGCCTCACTGTGCACTCCATAGTGAATATAAGCTACTATGAGATAGAGAAAGATGTGAAGCACACATCATTTTCATTGAATTTCAGCTCCATCTATAAAATTTTGATAATTACGTGATGGATCCAATTTTTTCAGAATTAAGGA